CCAGAATGAACATGATAGGGTCATGAGGATCAGGATTCAGTGCTAAGGTCTGAATCAGACCAGGGCTGAACACTGAGTTTTAGAAATGGGTACCTCTTATTATTCTTACATTGTTATGACGCTGCATTTGCACTTCCCCTTTCTTCCTATTGCAAAACACACAAAGCGGCTTTCGAGATTCCTCTCCTCTTCATTTTACTCTTAGAACCACCACTCTGCGAGGCAGGTTAGGCTGAGAGTTCATGACTGGCCCAAAGTCATCCATGAGTGTCAGGGCTGAATGAGGACTAAAACCTTGGTCTCTGGAGTCCCGTTCCAGCACCGTTCACTGCTGCACTACACTTACGTTGTTGTTCCCAAAATCAAAAAGGCAAAACCAAAAGGCGAGCGGAAAAATAAAATGAGCTTTTACAGTTTTCCTACATGAAATATGAGTGAATCTGTTACAATGGATGCATACAGTATATACTATGCACTTCTGCATGTCCATGCACACGCGCTCGCGTGCTCGCACACACACACACACACACACACACACACAGACAACACAATGCACTACTATTCTTAGGGAAAGCTATGCATAGCCTTCAACGAAGACTTTCCATCTTGCTGTTGTGATGAAACTTTAAAATCAAGGATCTTAATTTTAAGGATCTTAAGGATTTAGACGGGGGGGGGGGGGAGAAGTCTTTCAACCATCATCATGCCCCACTGGGGCTTTTTCAATTTGAACATTTCAGTTATTTCAAACTTAAAGCTGAACTTGTGAGACGTATTTTCCCAGAGTAAGTCCAATTGCACTCCATGGGATTTACTTCTGAGCAGGTTTTCCTAGGATTGCACTTGGTCTGAGTTTCTAGAAAGGTGTAGGAAATCTTCCATCCTTGCACAAGATTGTCATTAAACAGAAAGTTGTTCTTCTGCATCTTCCGTTTTGGCCAAATCATTTGATTGGCATTGAAACCTGTTCGCTCTTTTGTCTGAGCAGCAAGTGAGCAACAGAGTTTGTGCAGAGGATGGGATACAAAAGTTTTAAATAAATAATAAATGATGCTAACGATGATCTTTTTGACTAAAATCATTCCAAAGAATAAGTTCCCAAGCAAAGCGAGGGAGGTGGACTCCACTCTGGTCTGGGCAGCTTTACACAGAAGCCAAGTCTTTAGGAGCCAACTGAGACTCCCTTGCAGGTAAGGAGGTGTTAAACCAGCCATCTGCAGCTTTGCTGGGCGGAGAACATGCCAGCAAAAGTTATTCAGGCTTTCTTTTCCTTCTCTGCTCCTCCTCCCCCTCCTCCCCCGCCCCTCCGATTTCCCTGCTCTCCTTTACTGCAGTGCGTCAAAACGGAGCTTCAGCGTGATGAAGCAATTCTGCTCCTAGCCAAAAAATAAACACTAGACACAAAAATCACTGATGCCTTCGCTCAGGCAGGGCGCACTCGCGGTCAGTTTATATGGTTCCCTGAACAACATAAATGAACACTTCAGTTTTCTTTCTTCCAGAGCAGCTGAGCAACTCAGCCTTAAAACGAAGCGAAACGAAACGAAAAACTTGGTTGCAGAAATGACAAAATGCCCCAATCTCCTCTCCAGGCATTCACTCAAAAGAAAAGGAGCCCTCTGGCGGGAATGCCTCTTAGCAAGAAAAAGAGGTGAAGCTTTGAAGAAAAATGAATATATTATTAAGAAACATTCTGAGATACCCCATCCTTTTTGATCTATTGCTCTTTCTTTTGAGTGATGTTGGCTTAATGCACAAAAAATCACAGAGAGCCAGCAGCTGATGTGGCTGCAACGGTGGAGTTTCGCATCTTCTATATTCCTGCAATTGGACCATGAGCAAACATGCCAGAACCGTGTGGGGTGAGCTCTAAAATTACAGTTAGTTAAGATGAAGCACATGCAACTTATGGAAACATTATCGAAAGGAGAGGTAAACACAGGTTAGGTTTATGCCAGCTTGCATGCCACACATTAAATTCCTCTAGGCATTTCTGTGGAATTCATGATTTATATCTCCCAGAGTTCAGGTAAGTTTTTACAAAGCTTTAAGTGAAGCCTTAAAATAAAAAAAAAAGATGGATAGAAGCAATAGAATATTGGAAAAGCAGCCAAAGGAATCTTGAACAGGATGTACTTCATCAGCCAAGAGCTAATCAAACACATTTGTAGCTGTTCCTGTCTGCTCTCTCCTCTCCTTATCATGCGTATATTTCATCTTGACTCAGGTTTAGGCTTAGGCTTAGCACTGCTGTGGAGCATGGAAAGGAGGGTGCTATTGTGTTCATATCATACTTGGAGGATCCCCAGGGCAGCTGGTGGGCCACTGCGTGAACAGAAGGCTGGAGTAGGTGGGTCCATGGTCCTATCCAGCATGGTTTGCATGTTCTTATGTTTTCATTTAGGTGTACAGTTTAGGGTTCATTTTGATCTACCCATTATGCAGAATGAGAAGGTAAGACTGAGGAGGTATACGCTGCATCAATGTCACTGCAGGGGGAAAGGCAGTGATCATATTTAAAATGCTTGCATGCACACAACACTTGTATGAGTGAGTGAGTGTGTGTGTGCGCGCGCGTGTGAGAGAGAGAGAGAGAGTTTGGACAAATATTATCCAGAATTTTATTCTTCTATTCTTCATTATACCTTGCAAAATACAGATACCAGCTCTCAAATGGCCTGGTCCCAATGATACAGTCTTAATTCAGCGCATGTGCTAAATGTTGAGCTTTTGAGCATATGCAGAGTTCCTTCTTCAATCCCTAGTGCAGGTGGGCTCCAACACTCATAACACCCAGTCATCGTAGAGTTAGGCCTAAGGGAAAGATTCCTGCATTATCTTTGACTCCCTGGCATGTTCTCTTTCTGACTTCCAAGGAGGTATATGGCCAGGGTGCTGAATGGGATAGGCCATCCCTGGATCTATACTGATCCATATTCACAGATGTGTAGCAAACTGCATCAGATTAACCCATGACAGCGCAAGACTCCTACGAAAGACACGTGCACCCTCAGTGAGCCCTCTCTGGCCTGACCGTCCATGCACAGGGCTGGGCATCCCGGTTGGGCCGATGCTCCCCTGGCTTGCCTTGGCAGAAGGTTAACACATGGATCCATACAAAGACGAGAGATGTCTCATTCCCTAATGCAATCTACTTGCCTATGGAAATGTGCTTGGACGCAGGTCACAGGCCACCTTTGCCTGCCTCCCGTGGAGACAGTGTGGTGCATGGGTCAGAGTGATAGACTGGGACTGGGGAGAGCTGGGTTCTAGTCTCTACTGCACCATGGCGTTCATTTTTGGCCAGCCACTGGTTCTCAGCCTGACCTACCTCGCAGTGTTGTTATGAAGATAAAATGGAAAGGGGGAGGGGTTAGACCAACTAAGATACAGCAGGATACAAAATGGTGGTGGAGGAACAATGACTTGCCCTATTTCATGAGCTCATGGGATGAGCTTCCTATACCATTCTAAAACGGAGCTGTTTCAGGCCAGGACTTCTAGCAGCCTATTTCTTCCCCACTGGGGGCCAAGGGTCAGATTTTCTGTTGTTAGGAAGCACGCTGGGCTCAGGAGACTTGTCAGTCTAGTGCCCGAAAGGGGCAACCTAGTCCAGAAGCTGGCCTTTCAATTCCTGGTGTAGAGCACCGTTCCTCGTAGCCCTGCGTATCCTTTCCCATCCAAACTGCTCTGATTTATGCATCAGGTGAGTGGGGGTCTCAAGTCCAAGAAAAAGTTATTTTCAGTGGGCCACAGGAGACATGGCTGCATGCGCTGGAGCAGGTTCACTCAACTTCCTTGCCAGGATTATATGTTCAGCTCGCATTTCTAGTGTACTTCCCATCTCTGTCACGCACACTGATGTATACATTGCATTTATATCCCACTTTTTTCCTATTGTGAAGAACTCAAGGAAGCTTACATAGCTCCATTTATCCTCACAACAACCCTGTGAGGTAGATTAGGTCATGAGTGAGCAACTGGCCCAAAGTGTACTGCATTGCACAGTGGTAAATTTAGAAGTTCAGGTGCTCTTAATTCATTCATTAGATTTTTAGCCTGTCCCATTGGCCATAAAGCTCCCTGGATGAGGGTTGCATTTCCACAGCACCCCAAAGAGGCCGAAGCTGCAGGCAGACCAGTTCTAGCAGCTTTTGCAAACATGTCCATTAGCTGTCAATTCAAGATCAAGCCCTGTTGTAACATTTCAGATTACAACAGGGATAGGTCCCCAAAACAATGTACTTCTGTTGGGAAAATTCTTTCTCAGCCACATCCTCAGCTGCTGTGAGAACTGCACCTAAACTCAGATGGAGCAGGACAGTCTGAGGATATAGCACAAGACCCCATGGTCAAAAAGTCTGGGGGCTTCTACCGTGCAAGTCTTGGTACCACTACAACACTGTCCACACCAGGCTGGGTCTATGCCAAAACAACCAAGCCACTGCTTCCTGGGCTAATGAGGACTCTCAGATTGCAGTTTCCCCTTTTCATGTGTCTCCTTGCTTTCCGTTGCTATTATGTAGTATCTTCCTAATGCATTTTCTTCACACTCTGTTTAAGGATTTCATCATCTCGGCTTCAACGGGGTTGTTATTGTGAGGATAAAATGCAGAGGAGAACCTTGCAAGCCACCTTGGCTTCCTTGCAAGAGAAAGAAAGGCAGAGCATGCATGCAAGGTAACTACTACTACTCCTACTACAATAGTAAGAAGGGCAGCATGAAGTTTACTGCATCAATGCAATGTGGCCATCCAGCTGCTGTAGGGTCCCAGTTCAAACCAGTGCCCACCAGCTGGACCAATTATGAGAGATGAGGTGCCTAATACTGAATCAGCTTTGTCAGATAGGTTCCCTGACCCTGTTCTTCTGAGTAAGCATTCATAGGATTAAGCCCTCGCTCGCTCACTCTTGCTCCCACTCTCTCTCTCAAACACGCAACCTCTGAAATAAGCCAAGAAATTCTTAAGACACACCATGAGAAATTTGTGTATGCAGCTCTGTAACTTTATTGACTAGCTTGGTTGCACAAACTTCATAATTTTTGCCACCCAAGATTTTCAGAACAACTCTGAATGTTGCTTAGACATATTTTGCCCCCCTCCCCTTCATCTGTGGCTTCCCCACTTTTTCTTTCCCCCCTTTTAAACATTTAAGGTTTGAAATCAGCCGAATTGCACATTGCTCTGGGACCTGTAAGAAGACACCATGCGTGGTTTAGGAGCAGCCAGTGGGACACTCTGCAAGCATTCAGGTTAATTTGCATCGAAAGGAAAAAAGAAAGAAAAACAGACAATTAATTTCATTAAACCTAAGACTGTTTGGGGGATTTAAATATGTGTTACAGCAAGTTTAGCTCATTCAGTTAAACTATCTGGGAAACCAACATACAGGTTTAGATTATCAATCCTTCTTCTTTTCCTTGGGTGCTTCATCTCCGCCAGCCTCTTCTTGTTCATCTTTGCCTTCCTTTTTCTCTCCCTCACCTGCTTCCTCAGCTCCTCCTTCTTCTCCTGCTTCTTCACCTTCTTCCTCTCCTTCTCCCTCTCCCTCTCCCTCTCCCTCTCCTTCGCCTTCGCCTTCGCCTTCACCCTCTCCTTCTTCTTCTTCCTCCCCTCCTTCTTCAGTTACTTCCTTGGCCCCTAGAAAGAAAAACACACCAATAAAGGTTCATTTTATGCAATCTGGTATGATTCCATCATTCAGATGAATAGGATGATCAATCAATATAATATTCCCTATCTATACAGAGAAGAGTCATTGATCTTATGATAGACAATTATTTTTACTTTAGTAATTCAGACTGAAAGTTAGATCTTTATCATTTTGTGCATACTGCCTACTTGTGACTGAGAGAATAGTTTTGTGTGTTTGGATTATTCACTTCGAATTTACAAAACAGAACAGTTGTCGTAAGGGTAGCATTATAAGTAAGGCTAAGTATGAAATGACTGGCATTCTGTGATGACTTGGAGAAGACTCTGCTTGGAACCACTGAAGTAAAATGCAAGAGGTTTCTGGTACCATCATTAAATCAAGTCCCTTCAATAGGGTCCACTTCAAGCTCAAGTCTAGCTCCAAGCATTAGATCTCAAAACTCGGCTTTTTTAAAGGACTAATTGATACTACCTTCTTCCTCTCCTCCTTCTTCACCTTCTTCTCCCGCTTCTTCTCCTCCTTCTCCCTCTTCTTCACCCTCTTCCTTCTCCTCTTCCTCGCCTTCTGATGGGGGAGATTCTTTGGCTTGTTCTACTTTGGATGCTTCAATGGTCTCCTCAACTTCTATCTGTTCTTCTTGCACGTGGCTGGAGTAGTACGCAGGGAAGGAGCGGGCTGACATCAAGTAGGAGCTGCTCTGTAAACCGCTGTAGGCTGATCTTCCAAAGGTTCCAGCAGTCTGCGTGTAGCCACTGCTTATGCTGCCAACACTGGTGAAGCTAAGTCGGGTCTCCTCACCTTCCAACAGTTTTCTGGAAGGAGAAAGGAAGGAAATGAAACAAAACAGGGAGAAAAACGCACAGGGCTGGTTCATCCATTCACAACAAGACAGAGATTTGTTGATGAATTGAAGGAGACTGCAATGCAGTCTTCTCATTGGAGCTAAAGATCTGCTGGAACTCGTGCCACAACAATGCACACAAAAACGAAGAGAGGTTAGCCATGCATGGATGAATGTCCGTGGCTAAATATGCATCTCCCACCACCTCCCCACCGAGGTCGAACATGGTTGCTTTCAAGCCACCAGGCCATTCTCATCTTCAGAGAACATATGCCCCTGCGATAGTCCTACCCAGTCTTTCTTCGGAGCTCAATTCAAATCATGAAGGGGTAAATAAGGTCCTGGCGATCAAGCCATGTATAGGCTCTACACCAATACTAGAACAGAGTGTGTTTTAAGAGCATGAGATGAAGTAAAGAAGATAGAAGGAGATGGACAATATGCAAAGATCAAAGGAGCTAAATACATACTCCTTCAGTGAAACACCCATCCTAAACGCATCTACACAGAAGCAAGCCCTGCTGAATCCAATGTGACTTACTCCCAGGTCTCTAGGATTGCAGCATTACATAGAAACAAAGCGAGCTGGAAGGGGTCTCCTGGGCTACCTAGTCTGACCTCCAGCTCCAGCGGGCTCGGCTCATGTAATCCCCGACATGTGGTTGTCCAGTACCGATTAATCAAAAACATATCTATTTGACATCAATGTTTCAGCTCAAAACACTAATCGATTTTCTAGCACCAATTGGTTAGAAACTGCAAAGACTGGCTTTTATTTATCTCTGTCAGTATTTAAGTGACTGACCTTTCAGCCATCCTACTACTGGTAGGCATGTGGAGAACTCCATTCAGAACTATATGCAGATGATGCAGGTCAATTTGGGGGTGACTTGTAGAAAAATGTTTCTCTGTGAAATGGCAGGAACTATTTGAGGATGAGGAACAAGAGTGGTGTCAAGGGTAGTCATGACTGGGCACCTGCTTGGGGTCCACGCTCCAGCTTGTCCCCCTGGCAAGTTTCTTCTGGAGTTGCTCCTGATCTTCATCATTACCACCTACCTCTTCACCTGCTTCTTGCCCTGGCCCTGACAACATTGGTGGTGATAAGGCAGAGCAAACCCACTGGCAATTCACGGACTTCCTGTCCAGTCAGGAAGTGGTAGCAATGATGAGAAAGAGGAGGAGGAGCAAAAGCAGCTGGTGACCACGGTGGTGAGAAGGTAGACTCTCTGAGTGGCCCACTGAGGATGCCTTGCGCAAGGACAAGGGCTATTAAAAACCTGAAGCCAGAGTTCACAAGAAGGTTCCTTTACTTCCTCTCTAAAACTAACACTGAAAGCTGCTGTAAAAACCGATAGTGCAGCCCTCTCTTGAGCAGCTGCACATGGGCAGGTTGATCCATCATCAACGAGGCCATCAAAGCCATGTCTCTGCCCCATGGGCATTGCCTCCATCTTCTGGCAGAAATTGCACGTGCAGTACCCACGAACCCCTTTGGGATGCCTCGTTCCAGATGCAGTGGAAGACCTGGCGCATGCAGCCCTCATGGGAGGGCTGTCCCATCATGGCCTGGAGGACAGTAGAAGATCTGGTCCACCTTCAGTCCCAATCTGACATTCATTCAGAGGGTCATGACGTTCAGCATATCAACAGCTTGTTCCCATTTTGCCCCCAGCTCTCAATAATTAAGTGGTTTCCTAGACTTTGTGCCTCCTCCCACTTTATTCCACATTCTGAAAGGTTGAAACACCTCACCTAGGGGTTCTTTTCTGGCAGTAAGAGCTTGCGCTAGTGTGTTGGACCCTCCTTTTGCTCTACCCCTTTTGCTCGAGGCCCTGCACACCTTTGGAATGTGGGTCTTGAGAGCTTATCAAGAGTTGAGTCCTTGAATTAACATCAGCCCAACATCTGTGCTTCATTTAACCACCATGAAGTCTGGCTGAAGGTGCTTTTGTGATAGGTGGAAGGAATACAACCAGGTGAGGAAGGCTTTTTCTGTTGAGGACCACATCTCTTGGAGGTAAGCTGTCAGGTCCACATGGTGGTGGTGAGCAGGGCCAACAGTGAAACTAGACAGTCATCCCACATTTTTACTGAAATAAATGGGATCACTCAGTCAGTTATTCTGCAACTAGCCAGAAGGGAGCTAATTTCAGCTGGGGACCAGATTTTCCATCTCTGTTGTCTGCTTGTGCTATATGCAAACGAAACCCCTTGATTCCATCTGTGGGTTCTGCGGATAAGGCTGTGAAGATCACAGGCTTCAACACCAAAAAGAAACTGAGCATGAAAAATACATTTTTTAATACAAGGACCCAAATAAATGTATGACTGCAGAATAATTGCTCTCCCCAAGATTACCTGTATGCTGCGATTTCGATATCTAAAGCCATTTTCACATTTAGAAGGTCCTGGTACTCCTTCAGATACCTGGCCATTTCACTCTTTGTGGTTCTCAGTTCATTTTCTAATTTACCGACCGTTTCCTGTGGGGAGGAAGAAAAAGGTTAAATAAGAGAGAATATTCTTCATCCATGGATGAAGATTCATCTGGGGCAGGGCATGTGCATTGCTCAGTGGCAGAGCACCTTCCGTTTTGCATCCAGAAGGTGATAGTTTCAGGTTCCAGCATCTCCAGCTCCCAGAGAAATCCCAGAAAAGTGCTGCCAGTCAGTGTTAACAGTACTAGACGGGCACAATGTCAGACCCAGCAGCTTCAGATGGCTCTGTAACACCCAAGGCTTCCTCCTCATTTCACATGAAGTATCGCACTTCTCCGGGCATTTTCCTGTAATCCACTAAAGCAAGGGTCAGCAAGAATGTGTGGCCTTCTCAGTGTTGTTGGACTGCAATTCCCATCAGCCCTAGCCAGCATAACCAATAGCAAGGGATGATGAAAGTTAGAGTCCAACAACATTGACAGGTTTTTTGTATTCCCATAATTAATAAAAGGTTCATGAATGTTCAAAACCGGGATTTATTTATTTTATTTTATTTATTTATTGGAGGGAGGGAGGGGGATGCAGGTGAAGTCATGCTCTACAGAGACCCATTGAAATCAATGGGGCAAGGCAGTCACCCTGACTACTTTAAATTCTACTGATTTCAATAGGCTCTACTTTAAACATGAGTCAGTCTAAAATCAACGCTTCTATTCTATTCATTCTAAGGGACAAACACTGTCCTATGCAGGTATAGCTCACAATTTCTACTCCATAAATTTGCTGCAGGTATCCATACATAAGAACTGGGATTAGAATTAGTTGAATATACTAATTCAACCCACCATGATGCCTATCCACACAAAACTTATAACCCACAGATGTGTAAATCTGATTTTCTTCATTTTTTGCATGCTTTCCTGGTATGGGATATATCCAATCTGTTTATGAATAGGATGCCCTTCTCATTCAAAGATCACAAAATGCCTTAAAGACTAAGAAATACATTATGACATAAGCTTTCCCAAGCTAGATCCATATAAGCTTATGCAATAATAAATATATTAGTCTTTATGGTGTTGGAAACCACTTTGTGGTTTTGCTGAAATGGACTAACATGGGTCCAGTAATCACCCACAGAAATCTTGGATCTTAAATTCCAACTGGTTCCATTTAACTGATTTTTGAATTAGAATGCCAATTACAGGGGATGTTTAATCCACAACAAGAGTGTTTTATTTCCCACCACACTCCTGCCTACTCATACCTTTCAGATTTTTCATCAGGATCTTGCTAATGAAAATTATAAAGAATGCATCAGTGTAATTAAATGCAAGGAACATTTCAGTTCAGCCTTTCGGCATAAGAGCAAATAAGCATGTCATAGAACAAAAAGGGAATTGTGTTTAAATAGGCTCTTTGGGAAAATATATACCTGTGCACAAGCAAACACTCATTAAAATGATATTTAAGTAATTGCTACAATATAATATGCATGTATTCTAATGAAGCAAAGAATATGGATATAGTGATTTCTGGGTGTTTAGAACTACATCACTTTTCCAACACTGAAGCTTAATCAACTTGTAATTTGAGCTGTTTGTTAAATTGCAACAATACTGATCAGAATCAATTGGAGGTATTTTTTTATGGTTTTGTGGATAACTGAGGTTACTTTGTAAAACTGTTTTGTTTTATTTTGCTTTATCTTTGCAGAGTGGGAGAAATTTTACACTCTTTTTAATTCTGTGAATTTCTCATTAAATTCCAGACAAAACCTACAACTGTGCTCTTACCACTATCCTATTATTATTATTGCAAAATGTCACAACAGAACAAAAATTAGTAATTTACTTGAAAAGTTTGATCTTACCTCTTCACCAGACTAAATCTCTAATCAATAAAGTGTGGGGAGCCCTTGAGGAATGAGCTTAGATTGTTATGTTTTAAAAGAAATTCCATAAGATGTCCCTGCCAACTTCAAAACTCCCATGAAGCCTAATCTTTAAAAAAACGAATTAAACCCCATAAACTGAAATCGAGATTTAAGAGTTTACTTCAAAAGCATGCTTTCACTCAAATACTGAATTAAATCCTCTTGGAAGCCCTTCTAGTCTTATGATTGTACAATGAAGATTTACCCCCAAGTTTATTGATGCAAGACTCTTAAGAGTAAACTGGATTGAAGCTGTATAGGTTTGCAGATCCAAAGTTGCAGTCATGGATTATAACAAGCAGCTATCCATTTCAGAGCTTGGTATCTGGACAGCTCATGGCTTAAATTGGGTGGGGCTGACGGGGGGCAGGGGGTGGGAACCGCCGGGGGCGGGGGGAGTTGGTGCATTGCACCATTGCCTGCTGGAAACTTCTGCGGCCTCTGTGTCTGGCTACACCCAGAAGGGCTTTTCTTAATTTTATTTTTTGGGATCGTTTTGCTTTAAAAAGCACAACAAGGCAGAAAAATGCCAACCCTCAACCCAGCTAAGGCAGAACAAAGAACTTAAACCAACTAAGTGTTTCAGTGACAGCCAGGCGAAAATGACAAGTACTGCAAATTTCTCCAGCAGCCTGCATGTACTGATCTTAGCAGCCAGTGGATGAGGGTTGTTGGATGCAGTGAACAGTCTGGGTCTGACTGGTGGGGCACTGAGCCCCAGATGGCAAGAAAACTAGATGATAGTGTACCCACACAGATCCAAGTGTACCGTGCACAGTGTGAACTGCTGCAGTGGGCTGGGGGTGGGGGGATTTTCTTCTCCTGCAGCCAGCAGTCTATGTTTGGCTCCAGTAGTACTGAGAGCTCTCACAAGCAATGGCGACCACTTGCCACCACTCCCTAAATTCAGAGGAAAATGCCCAGACAAGCCTAAAGACTCCAACTAGGAGCACAGAGGCAGTGCTGTAAGGTCGGGATTTCAGTCCCAACCTTAAAGGAGCTTCCTGGCGTGTTGCAGCTATTTGGCGATTGGGTTCAGGACCCTGGACAGCTCCCACCCCGCTAATGTTGGTGCCACCAAGACTTTACTGGTAACACCCACCTCAAAACCTAAACAAATCGTCCAGGTCTCTATCTGATCAAGTCTAACCAAGTTTGGCGTGGCTTATTCCCAAGTCACTGAATGGAACTGACCGGTTATGGAGCTGATAGGCTGATCAATAGTTATTATAAAAAACAATTCCCTAGGTGTGAGGACCATTAAAATCCATCAGATATCTTCTCAAGCACATGGGATTAGGCTTGGAATGAAAACACACTAAGGATGCCCGCTTTCTTGAGCTGTGATTTTCTTGTGAGCCAAATTACATAATAATGCCAGGCAAAACTGAGGCTGCAAAGAGTTTTGCCCTTTCAGTACCACATGGCAAGACTTTTTTCCCCCTGCCCAGTCAAAAGAAAGGTTACAGAAAATCAAAATCAGGCTGCCTGCCACCTCCATACTGAGTAATTTCTAAAAGGAGAGAGAAATGACAGAATGCAAACCAGATTTTTTTGATGGGAGGGGATCCCAGCAACAGAACAGATGCGGGGGGGACTTGTGTCCCTAAACTCTTTTGCAAAGTTTGGAGGCGTGGATTTGGAGCAGGGCTGCCAGGATGGGCACTCAAGCCCCTGTGCCTCTTCCCGGATAGCCACACCCTCAAAATTCTGCTCTTTCATTTGGAGCCCTGAATATCTAGGAGACCCCGATCCTGTGCTCTGTGGGGCCTCTGCTGCACTCACCCCCCCCCCCCCAGATTAGCTAGCTTTTTTCGGCAGGAGCTTCATCCCCTGTTGCCCCCTGAATCTTTCTGCATGAGCCTTTTCCCCGGAAACCTTCCTGTCCCCTGTGCATTTTACAAGCAGGCGAGTCCTTTAAAGACACACGCACACGGGCTGTCCCTGCAGGTACCTGTTCCCCTGCGTGAAACGCTGCGGCGCTGTGTGATGTCCGGGGGGGGGGGGAGGCGGGGACGGGAACGATGCCAAGGGCAGAGAAGGGGGCAGCCTTCCGCGAGCGCCCCATTGCAGGAGGGCAGAACGCTCCCCCCCCCCCACCTCACCACCACGCCGGCTTACCAGGAAAGGCAAGGCGGCCCCGCGCGCCCGGCCGCGCACACCAGCCCCCCAGCGCCACGAGCACGCGCACGCGCGCGCGCCCCGGGACGCACCTGCAGGGAGGCGATGTCGGCGTTCTGCTTGTCCTCCAGCTCCTGCAGCTGCTTCTCGAGGGCCTCGTTCATGCCGCGGGTGGCCTCAATCTCCAGCGTCTTGGCCTTGAGCAGCCGCCGGCTCTCGGAGACCTCGTCCTTGGCGGCGCGGACGGCGTCGGTGTTCTTGGCGGCGCTCTCGGTGAGGACGGTGAAGCGGCTGCGGAACCACTCCTCGGCGTTCTGCATGTTGCGCGCCGCCAGCTTCTCGTACTGGGCGCGGATGTCGCGCAGCGCCGAGGACAGGTCGGGCTTGGCCGAGACGTCCATCTCGACGGAGAGGTGCGCGTACTGGATCTGGGCCTGCAGCTCGGCCAGCTCCTCTTCATGCACCTTCTTGAGGAAGGCCAGCTCGTCGAGGAGGCTGTCGATGCGCTTCTCCAGCTCGGCGCGGGCCAGCGCCGCCTCGTCGGCGCCCTTGCGCACCTCCAGCAGGCGCGCCTCGGCGTCCTCGCGGCTGAGGATCTCCTCCTCGTAGCGCGCCTGCAGCGCGCGCAGCGTCTCCTCCAGGCTCTCGCGCTCGCCCTGCAGCGCCTGCTTCTCGTGCGTGGCCTCCTCGGTGGCCAGGCGCAGCTCGCGGATCTCCTGCTCGTACAGGGCGCGGAAGCGCGACGGCTCGGCGTGCTTCTGCCGCAGCACCAGCAGCTCGGCCTCCAGCACCTTGTTCTGCTGCTCCAGCTCGTGCACGCGCTCGATGAAGCAGGCGAAGCGGTCGTTCAGGTCCTGCAGCTGCGCCTTCTCCTGGCTGCGGATGGTCTTGAGGTCGTTGCTGATGGCCGCCACCTGCGTCAGGTCCAGGCTGTCCACGGACGGCAGCAGCGAGGACGACGACGAGGACGCGTAGCTGCGGCGCACCGACACGGACGACACGGGCGCCGACAGGGTCGAGTAAGTGGAGCGAGCCATCGCGTAGCCGCCGCCGCCGCCGCTGCGGACGCTGGACAGGTGCACCCGGGACGAGCTGTCCACGAAGCGGCGCTTGTACGATGGGAAGTAGGGCTCGTAGCCGTACGTGCTCATGGTGAGGCCGGCGGGCAGCGGCCGCTCAGGCGCTGCGAGCGGGGAAGGAGCGGGGAGAGGGAGGAGAGGCGAAGCCACCGTCTGGCGGGGAGAGGCTGCTCTGCGGCTGGCTGCTCCCGCCCGCGCCTATTTATGCGCCCAGGAGGCTCTGACGCAACGCAGGCGAGCTCGCCGCCGCGCCGCGCCGCGCCGCGCCGAGGAGAAGCCGCGCCGCCTGCGCCAAGGCAAAGGCGAAGGGGAAGGCGCGGCAGGCGGGGCCGGGGCCCGTCCGGCGGCCCTTGCCAGAGCTTGTCCTCCCGCGCCCTCGTGGCGGGAGCGAAAGGGTCTCTCCAGGCGATGGGTGGGGGGTTAGGGTGGCCCCCCTTTTGCACGCCACGCCTGCTTAGCCGCTGCCCGCAGCCTTGTTGAAAGACATCCTTTCACCCCTTCTAGGACAGCCTTGCGCGAGGGGTGAAGAAAATCCCCGGGGGGGGGGCTTCTTCTACCCCTCGTCCGCGCCCACAGCCCGGTAGGGTCATCCCGTGAACCTGACTGGGGGAGAGGCTGGACAGAGACAAGGAATACCTTCATCCCAGTAAAGGAAAGAGTTTGGTTCCACCAGGTGTAGTGATGGCCTCCAGTCTCGACAGCTGTAAAAGGAGAAGGTGCCCGTGGCTGCCAGTCCTGATGGTTCTATGCGACCAACTGCACTGGGGGTGGTAGGTGCACCAGCTGCTGGGGGGCCTGGGTGGGTGCCCACTGTGCACTCCGCTGCTGCTTGTGGCCTGGCCACTGTGTGCACAGACCGGGTGGCCCCTGGCCTGATCCAGCATGGCGGCACTGCGATTGCATGTGGGTCCTGCCACAGAACATAGTCAGGGTCCTCACCAGCCAGCCAGGCCCTTTCCCAGGTTCGCCCATTCCATTCCTCCACTTTTCTGTTTCCTCCACTGAGCAGGCAATAGTTCATGTCCACTGAGCGTGCTGTGTCCTACTGGAATCTTGGGGAGGATCACCCATCGAGGTGCTCCCAGAAATGTTCTGTGCTTTTGCAATCTCCATGGTTCTCCAGAGCACACTGACTCCTCCTCCTTGCTTATGGCTGGTGTAGCTTAGGGCCCATACACTGAAACACATCATCATCATCATCATCATCATCATCATCATCAATTTATCTATTAATTATATGTATATTGCTCCTTTGTTCCTATCAAGGAACTCAAGGTAGCTTACATAATTCTCCTCCTCTCAATCTTATCCTCACAACAACAACCCTGTGAGGTAAGTTGGGCCCAGAGATTGTGACTGGCCCAAAGTCATCCCGTGAGTTCCATGGCTGAGCATGGACTAGAAGCCGGATCTCTGGAGTCCTGGTCCCACACTCTTAAACTCTTACATTAATAGCTAGGTGAAAAAATCAACCAGCATGCAGCAGTGAGCAAACAAAGCTTGCCATGATGGAAATGATCAGAAATGGGATTACTGGCTAGAGATCCAGGGTGGTGCAGAGGTTGGGGTGTGGACAGGGACCTGGGACCCTCAGTCCTGGAGCTCACTAGATCTGTGGGACACCACACCAAGGGATGTTGGAGAAATCCATACTGATTTCAAATGGAACTGCATTTCATGAATCAATCAGTGAATTCCTCTGACTCTTAGCCTAACCTACCTCACAGGGTTATTATGAGGATAAAATAGGGAGGACAAAGAAGAGGGTTCCTTGGGGGAAAAGAAGAGGGGTGTTAGTGCTAATAAAGCAAATAGAGTGAGGGAGGGAGTCTATGCATGTGCAGACCAACCTCCCCCCCCCCCGCCGCCGCCACCCACCTGTTATCACCCCCAGCATGGGATTGGCTGAGTGCATGTGGGTGTTGTGGGAACTTTTGCTGTCTAAATGCCCACAGCCGTGTGCACCAGATACCAGAACATCACTGCCTATACTCACACAGATTTTGGCTGCCACACCTGTAACTTTTCCCCTTGGCATGTTGGTCTCCTATGCCTTTAACATGAGCCACAGAAATCCTGGAGAGTTTGCAACATCCCACAATGGTGCAACACATGCTGTGTAAATTCTTGGTGAACGTGGGAAGTGGCTGCATAACCGCTGCTCCATGTTCTACATTTTGCACACCAGCAGCATCTTGTCCTGCGGGTGGATGTTGATCACCTTGGCAGAGCTGCCAAGAGGTGGCCTTGGATCTGGGCCCAGAGCAGAAATCCCCGTGTTGTATCCTTGGCATCTGCAGGCAGGACGAGAAAAGACTGTCCCATTACCTGGAAGGCACTGTCCATCTGTATAGTCTTGACAGTACTGAGTAGGTGGACAAAGGCTTTGAACTGATGCAAAGTGGCTTCCAACATCCCAGGGAAGAAGCCACTGCTCAGCGGAGACTTCCCCTGGGATCTACAGAGGCTATTTAATTCATTTGCTCTGTGTTCCAGCACATTTTATCTGCTCATTGATAGAATTGGGGGGGGGGGAGGGGGAGGGGGGAAGGGGAGATGGCTGGAGATGAAGGGGAGATGAACAAAATAGAATTTTGTTCTATTTGTGCTAGTACAGATCAGGGCTGATTCACACTAGTATGGGCACTGGTCTGCTCGGACAAATGTGCGAGTGCACATTGGTTAGCATGAATTACTGGTATATTAGTAATATATATGGTATGGTATATATGGTATATTAGTGTAAATCTTCCTATCCCCAAATAATGCAAATGACTCAGAAAAAGGCAGATTTCAATTGGCTTCAAGAAATTGCAGATTCATTCGATGCCATTAAGGATCTCGCCAATCCCTAGGTTCGGTGCAATCGCTCTCCAGGATATTAAGTCTCTTTCTGAGCAATGACATTGACTCTGGCCCACCAGTGCTTCTGCTCTGAGTCTGGAAGATGCCCCAGGGCTTTTTCCTATCACAACACCTGGTAGGAAAGAGCCTGGTTCTTCTTAGTCGCTCATATATCCCGTCTGGAATCCATACATGGAACACCATTCTGGAGCCTGGTTCTTCTAAGTCACTCATATATCCCCTCTGGAATCCATACATGGAATGCCATTCTGGAGCCTGGTCCTTCTTAGTCGCTCATATATCCCCTCTGGAATCCATACATGGAACACCATTCTGGAGCCTGGTTCTTCATAGTCACTCATATATCCCCTCAGGAATCCATACATGGAACGCCATTCTGGAGCCTGGTCCTTCTTAGTCGCTCATATATCCCCTCTGGAATCCATACATGGAACACCATTCTGGAGAGAGTGTGGCGTAAGGGGCTGTTGTGAGCAATTCCCATTTTCCACTCTTTAATCCGAATGCAAAATCTTACATGGCACACTCAGTTTTCAAAACTGACATCCTCTGCCCTACAGGAGGGGCTCCATCTGTGTGAGTCTGCCCCATGTGGCAAATTGCTGAACTGCAAGTCTTAGGTGTCTTGGTGAGGTACTTTCAGAGCCTGGACTGATTCTGCCCATGCTGTCCCGACAAGAACCAGTATAAGAGTTCAAACCACACCTGTAAATGCATATGGTCTTGATCCAGGTAGAGACCGTGGTTCTCTGAGGGGAGGGTTTATGTTCCCCTTGTCTTCAATTCCCAAACTTGCGTGCGTGCACACACACACACACACACTCTCACACTCACACAGGTCCAGGGGGAAACGTAGAATGCAGATGTCCCCTCCCCCTTAAGGGGGCTGGAAATAAAGGGAAGGGAGATTTATTGATTTCTTCCAGTGCGCCATGGTCTGAATCCATATCAGGGCCTCCCATGCTTGCACAAAAGTTTTTTAAATAATAGCGGTCTCATTGAAACCAATGTGATCAGCACAACACGTAGTTTGTCTGTGTGGACTTCCCGTTCTAGTTGGGTCTTGCTTGAACAACAAGGTTTTCTTGAGTTCTGGAGCATTCCTTTATCACTCTTGCTCTTGACTTCTGACTTGTCCCACAGCTTCTGGATGCCATAATCCAGCCCTGGCACTGCTACACTCTCCGTTTTACATGAACCATTGTACATGATCCATGCACAACTCAAGGGGCAGCAAAGAGGTTCTGAAACATGTGCACAGACATGCTTTTCCCCTCTCTCCCTCTTGGGTGACAACATTCCAGCCCCAGAGCCACTTTTTAGGTCATTTGTGGTGATTGGCTCTCAGTTCACCCCTCCCCTCCCCTCCCCTCCCCTCCCCTAGCAAGTCCTCTGGAACTCATCAGTCTGACTGAGTCGGTGCAGCCTGTGATCTCGGAGTAGAGGGCCTGGGAGAAACAGTGTTGTCAAGGATATTACCTGGTGGGCGAGAGCTTTGCTTTGCTTGGTGTCTCAGGATTGGTGCATTATTGGTTCAAAGTGGAGCTGTTACCAAGAGACATGCAAACCAGCAGATAATAGCACTTTACTTTGGATGCTCACCCTGGAAATCCAGTGCTTTCTCCGCAAGAGTCACAGAAGAAGGCTAAAACCTTTGTGAACACATCCCAAAGCCCTGCTTATTTCAGTGATGTTCACAACACTGAACTGACAGATGGCTTGTGCCCAACCTTAATAAATTTTTTGGTCATCAGTGGGACTGTTCAGAGCAGGAGTGGGCAACCTGCCTCCCTTTGGAAAATGTTGGACTACAGCTCCTATCATTCCCCCACTCTCAGCTGTGCAGGTTAAGGCTGATGGGAGTTTCGTTGGTATTTGTCAGATTTTACTATAATAAAATCAACACGACACACAAATGTCTTCTTTGAGGCTGTGTCTTGTTCCTGCTTGAATCTGGCTCACCTCCTAAGCCAGGGGCGCCCAGTCCTGCTCAGTGGAAGAGCCGGAGATGGTAAATGCCAAATGTCTGAGGGCTACAACCAAGTACTCGTGGGCCGCAAGGGGCAAGGGGGTGCCCGCGGGCGGTAGCTGTGGGCGGAGAGCCACAGAATAAAGTCACAGAGCTGCCTGTGGCTCCCAAGCCTCGGTTTGGCCACCCCAGTTCTAAGTGGTACTGTAACGTGTTCCCATCTGCAACCAAAGGTAGC